CATGAATATGTTTGTATAATGTGGGTCATTGCAGGTCATTGCTAATATAATAGAGTAAGCCTCTGCTCAGCTGGCCTCAAGTTATACCACACCCATAGCTGTCAATTTCTATCTTCCTCTAGATGTATACAACATGGTGAGAGGGAAAAAGCCTAGGTGTGGGACTTAAGCCAACCTACTTTGGATTTCTGGCACTGCTTCTTACCAGCCATGTGAACTTGGGTGAGTTTTATAGCTTTGATGAGCCTCACTTTCCTTAGCTATAAAATGAGGATGATGCCTATTTTGCAGAAATTGAGAGGATTAATAATTGTTTGAGCAAAACGCCTGACAGTAAATTAGTAAATAAATATTAAGTTGAATCATACGAAATTGCTGATAAATGGCAATAACTAGTCATTTTACCTAAAGTTGTTAACCCTGGGGTTGTTAGCATGATTGTGTGTACATAGGCTGAGCCCAGGCACCTAGGGTGCAAAATTCAAGGAGGCACTCATTCTCAGGTGCCGACTCCATACCTGTATGACTCTGAGAGCAAATATTTCCTTAAATTTTGTTCCCAAGGCACCTCTCTTGGCTCTTCTCAGTCCCAGACCTGTTGCCAAGTTCCCCTTATCCAGCTGAGAAATTCCTCCTCTCCTTAGCAGCTCAGGTGCCTGGTGTCTCTCTCTAACTGAAAACCATCTCTTGGATGACCCCTTAATAACTCCAGGATAAATGACTCATAGCACTACACCCTCCTAAAGATGCTTGCTTTAAAAGAGGATTAAAATCTTAATTAAAAAAGCACTAAAGCAGGATTTCAGGCATGACTTAGTAGAACAGAATATCATGGGGGACAGCAACCTCTGGGGATCCTGAAAACCGTATCAGTTGGCAGGCAACATCTCATGTCACTCTGCATGTCTAAGCACATAAACATGGAGCCACAGGGAAACTGATGCACTGGGGACTTGAATTGAATCTTGAAGAATGGCTAAGTAGTCAGATGAGAAGGAAGACATTTTAGCAGGATTGAAAGCACATCCCAGAGGATTTCTTCCTCACTGTTTCCTTTTTTTTCTTCTCCAAAAATGACTTGATATAACTGATTCATGTGGTAGCCAGCCTCGAAGATTGCCCCCATGATGGTTAATATTAGGTGTCAACTGGACTGGATTAAGGGATACCTAGATGGCTGGTGAAGCATTGTTTCTGGGTGTATTTGTGAAGCTATTTCCAGAGGAGACTGATGCATGAGTCAGTGGACTGAGAGAGGAAGACCCACCTTCAGTGCAGGGTGGGTGCCCTGCTAGGACAAAACCGGTGGAAGAAGGGGGTAGTTGACTGGCTCTTGCTTCCTCTCTCTCTCTCCTTTATGGAGTAGGATGCCTTCTTTTTCTTCTTGCCCTTGGACATCAGACTCCAGGTTCTTTGCCTTTTGGACTCTGGGATTTGTCCCAGGACTCTCCTGGGGCTTCTCAGACCTTCAGCCTCAGAGTGGAGGCTATACTGTTGGCTTTCCTGGCTCTGAGGCTTTCAGACTTGGACTGAGCCACACTACTAGGCTTCTTTCGTTCTCCAGCTTGCAGATGGTCTATCATGGGACTTCACCTTTCTGATCATATGAGTCAATTCTCCCTAATCAACCCCTTTTCATATATATATATATCCTCTACTGGTTCTGTCCCCCTGGAGAACTGTGACTAATACAACTTCCAAGGATTCTCCCCTCATGGTATTTGTGCTCATATGTAGTACCACATTGAATCAGGGCTGGTCTGTTGACCAATGGCATATGGCAGAGGTGAGGGTATGACTTCCTAGGCTAACACAGCTAACACACAAAGGATATTGTGCTCACTGCCTTGCTCTCTTAGATTTCTTACTCTTACGGAAGCCAACCACTATGTCATGAAGACACTTAAGCAGCCCTGTGAAGACAACCATGTAGGAAAGGAATTGAGGCCTCCTACCAGCCAGCACCAACTTTTTTTTTCCCCCATTTATTTATTTTATTGCATTTTAGGTTTTGGGGTACATGTGAAGAACATGCAAAATTGTTGCATAGGTACACACGTGGCAGTGTGATTTGCTGCCTTCCTCCCCATCACCTACATCTGGCATTTCTCCCCTTGCTATCTCTCCCCAGCTCCCCACCCCCCACCGTCCCTCCCCTATTTCCCCCCAACTGACCCCAGTGTGTAGTGCTTCCCTCCCTGTGTCCATGTGTTCTCATTGTTCAACACCTGCCTATGAGTGAGAACATGCGGTGTTTGATCTTCTGCTCTTCTGTCAGTTTGCTGAGAATGATGGTTTCCAGGTTCATCCATGTCCCTACAAAGGACACAAACTCATCGTTTTTGATGGCTGCATAATATTCCATGGTGTATATGTGCCACATTTTCCCTATCCAGTCTATCGTCAACAAAGCGGGAGGCATCACACTACCAGACTTCAAACTATACTACAAGGCTACAGTAATCAAAACAGCATGGTACTGGTACCAAAACAGAGATATAGACCAATGGAACAGAACAGAGGTCTCGGAGGCAACACAACATATCTACAACCATCTGATCTTTGACAAACCAGACAAAAACAAGCAATGGGGAAAGGATTCCCTGTTCAATAAATGGTGTTGGGAAAGCTGGCTAGCTATGTGCAGAAAGCAGAAACTGGACCCCTTCCTGACACCTTACACTAAAATTAACTCCAGATGGATTAAAGACTTAAACATAAGACCTAACACCATAAAAACCCTAGAAGAAAATCTAGGCAAAACCATTCAGGACATAGGTGTAGGCAAGGACTTCATGACCAAAACACCAAAAGCACTGACAACAAAAGCACCAACTTTTAAGCCATGTGAATGTACTACCTTGGAAGTAGATCCACCAGCCCCAGTCAAATCTTTAGATGACATCTGACAATCTCTGGAGAGATCACAAGCCAGAACCAGTCCAATCAAACTGTCTTCGAATTCCTGACCTACAAAAAATGTGAGAGAGAATATATGTTTATTGTTATGCTATTGTTTTAAGCAAACTATTACACAGCAATACTGCTAAAATTCAGAAAAAGAAATCTTAAAATCAGCAAGAAAAAGACAAATAACACAATAGGGAAATGCACAAAAGACCTGAAGAGACACTTTACAAAATAACAATATCCAAATGGCCAATAAGCTCAATGAACGTTGCTCAACTTCATTAGCTATTAGGGAAATGAATAAACATATCAATGAAATGCCACCACACACCCCCCTGAATGTCTGTAATGAGAAAGATGAAAAATCCCACTTAGCAAAGATGTGGAGAAAACGGAACTCTCACATACCACATGGGGATATACCATTTTAGCAAACTCCTTTCGAAAACAGTGTGTACAGAACGGTCTACTAAACCTGCCAGAGCCCCTCAACTCTTAGATACAGACCTAACAATACTTGTACATATAGCCATGTACTGCATTATGATGTTTTGGTCAGTGACAGGCCACATACACACAGTGGTCTCATAAGATTATAATACCATATTTTTACTGGACCTTTTCTATGTTTAGATGTTTAGATACACAGATACTTACCATTTTGTTACAATTGCCTGCAGCATGCAGTACAGGAACATGCCGTACAGGTTTGTAGCCTGGGAGCAACAGGATCTAGCATATGGTATAGTGTATAGTAGGGTGTACCATCTAGATTTGTGTCCGTCCACTCTGTGATATTCTCACAGCAATGAAATTGCCTAGCAATGCATTTCTCAGAACATATCCCTATCATTTAGTGATGCATGACTGTATATTTTCTGAAAGACAATTAGAGATTTTATAGCAGCACTATTCGTAATAGCAAAAACTGGAACCTATTGTCCATTGCAATATAATGAATAAATACAATATGTATACAGTGGAACACTATAAAGCAATAGCACTGAATGAGTTCCAACTACACACAGCAACAGGATGTGTCTCACAGGCATACATTGGACTTCTGAAGGGCTGGTGATGCTCTTTCTGCATTTTGAAATCTGATTGCTTGTTACAAGGGTGTGTTCAGTTTGTGCAAATCTGCTTACATGTAAAAAAAAAAAAAAAAAAGATTTTGAAAACACCTACTTTCTGTGATGTGTTGAGAGGGCAAAAATATCCCAGGTCAGATCACGACATCTGCAGTTTTAAAGTTCAAGTTCAAGATGAAGTAATGTTTCGACGTCTATTCCTCTAACTCGGTGGTAGCCAAATTATAGTCTGCAGGCAAAATTCAGCCAGCCATCTCTTTCTGTAAATACAGTTTTATTGGGGCACAGCTCCACCCATTTATAAATTATCTATGATTGCTTTCTCCTGACACCAGCAGAGTTGAATAGTTGTGACATAGTTGGCATGGCCCCCAAAACCATCTGCTCTGATTGAGAAGCTTCTGATGCTATTGCATTACTTCTTTGTCCTCTTCACTCCTTGTTCCCTCTTGCCCTAGCTCAGTCCTGTATATCAAGGCCTCTTCCAAATACAAACAAGCCCTGTGATGTTTCTGAATAAAGGCTAAATTGGCCCAGTGCCCTGCTCGCCATTGCCCTGCCTTTGTCATATGTCTAAGCTGCTTATTGGGACACAACCCAGGTGTTCCCATGATGTGCATCATGAAATGGAATGATCAGATTGTTAATTTGGCTCATTACTTAGCTGCTTCTGAAGATAAGATGAAATTTGACAACAATGGCAACTCAGATCTTGCAGAACACCTGCACACACTCAAGCTGTTTAAGTGGAAAGATCTGTAAATGTAAGTGCATAGTTTTTGGAAAAGAACATCTAGACAGAATCGTTTTGATTATTAACTTCAGCCCTTCTTCAGTACTTGATCACAGATGGGCTCTCGATTCCCATGGCTCTGTTTTTAGTTAAGAATATGTGACACATGCCAGGTGTTTGGCAATTACATCTTGCTAAACATGGTCACTCATGTGGAAATACAAAAATCACTCTGTTTGAATCAAGAAAATTGTCACTGCCAAACGTCTTTCAGATATTCCTTTTCACTGAAGTGTTTTCTCCCTGCTCATTTATAACCAGCTGTCTTTAAGGCATTATTTTTCCTTAAGAAAGGACATACTAAAATGGAAGAAAACAACTTTGGCAGGGAGTGTTCAATAGTTAAACTCTAAGTTTCAAGTGAAAAATTTGGCTTTCTTTTCTGCATTCTTTCAAGGCCTTGCTCTGTGACCCTGGGCTTGTTTAGCTTATCTGGTCTTCCATCTGTAAAAAAAAAAAAAATTTAAGTTTATATTCACTCACTGCCTCAAGTGATCTAGTGAATGATTTTTGTCTATGAAATTCTTTAGATACCTTACTGAAAGAGATGATGGAATTTCAAAATTAACCCCGTAACAAGAAGAGCCAGTACATTTCCACTGCCAGTACTTTATGATAAAGAGTGATTTATGTCCATGCATGCTCCCAACTTGCAGAGTGTTTTGGAGTGATACAATCATTGTATAATTTTATGCATCTTTACCTAAAGGGAATGAGGAAGAATCTGGCTAAAGAGAAGAATTTTCTATGAGAAGGAGAAATTGTACAGAAACTCAAAAGGAAAGACTTTTAAAATTATTTGTTAGTTTATATTTTTGCTTGTATAGGTTGAAATTTCAATGAAATCACCAGAAACACATATTGATCACATGTTACATTCAAGGCACTATTGTGGATACAAAGACATTTCAGAAACCGTCTTTTTGAAATATAAAAATGCTTTTGGAGTAAGAAACCACAAGTTCAAATCCTGGCTATACCTTTTACTGGATGTGTTACCTTGGGGAGCTTACTTAATTTATCTGAGCCTCAATTTTCTCATCCCAAATTGGAGGGAATCATTATACACTCATCCCTTAATGTTGTAGTGAGGAGAAGGAAATGAAGTAAAGTATGTAAAGTGCTCAACAGAGTGCCTGGAAAGGAGCCAGTAGTAAATAATAGCCATGTGATTGTTGTCATATTAAAAAGCATTTCACAACTGACTCTGCTTTTGTTAAGAAAACTTTCCAAAACTTAGAACATAGAAAGATTATAGTGTGCCCTTTCAAAGTCATACTAGAACATTATCTTCATGCCCATCTAAGGTACAGCTAATGTAGGCAACTTTGATTTCTTATTTACTTGATTAGACCCAAGACTTTATACAATTAGATGACAACTTGTAAAAAATTGATAAACTGAAAGAGATGGGAAGGAGATTTTGTCAGATAGAGACGTAGATTATTTCTTTCCATTAGAAAAGCATTATGGGTTTTTTTGCCCCATCTGATATTAACCATCTTTGTCTCTACCTTGGAGATTTTGTTTCAGCATTCTTTCTTTCAGAGACTATAAATGCTTAAGGATTAAGCACTCTCCTTTAGAGCAGTTATACCATCCTACTGGCTCCTTCATTTATTAGTTAAATAAATCTTCAAAACATGTTCATTTATTGTAGGTATAACTATCTTTTTAACTTCTTGAAAATTATAATTTGATAGTTTCTAGCCTCATCTCTTCCCTCTCCTCTTTGAACTGATTAGGAGAGAATAATATTTGAATCTTCCAGGATGCTCACTGAAAGAGCTGAAATTGTCTTGATATTGGAGGGTTAAGACCTTTCATAACAAAAGAGCTATAGTTAACACACCCACAAAAAAAACATCGTACCTCAGTGCCCAACACACGGTAGATTAAATAGATTCATCCACACTCAGCACAGGCTCCAATTCTTAGACATGAACATACCCTTACAATTTTGAATCCTAAGTGTGTCTGCTGTGGACAGCATATAGTTAGATCTTGTTTTCTTTATTCAGTCTGATAATCACTGCCTTTTGATTGGATTGTCTAATCTATTTGCAGTTACAGTTATTATTGATACAGTTGTATTTATGCCTGCCATTTGTTTTGTTTGCTTTCTACATGTCTCAGGTATTTTTTGTTCCTATCTTCCTTCTTTACTATTATCTTTTGTAGTAAGTAGATATTTTCTAGTGTATCCTTTTAATTCCTTTAATTATATTTTAACTTTATTTGTTTTCTTTTTTTAGTGGTAAGTTGCTCTACAGCTTATAATAAACATCTTAATTTGTTATAATTCACTCCTAATATTCTAACCTCATTCCAGTAAGATATTAAAACTTTATTTCTATAGAGCTCCATTACCTACCGCCATTTTGTGCTATTACTTCTATATATACTATGTCTGTATATGTTAGACACCTAAAAATACATTGTTATAATTATTGCTTTACATAGTTTAATGTCTTTTAAAGCAGCTGAGAGAAGAAAGGAGAACAAGTATATATTTACAGAGTTTATTATATATCAACCTTCTTATTTATTACTTCTGGTTCTCATCACTTCTTGTGGATTGGAGTTAGCATCTAGTGTCATTTCCTTATACCATATCCTCACAATTTAACATCTTTATTAGAAGTAGACCTTATAATTTTTATAAGATGTGATAAGAAGTCTTAGACTGTTTCTTGTGTGTATGTGTGGAGTTCTAAAGAAATATCCAGGCCGGGCACGGTGGCTCAAGCCTGTAATCCCAGCACTTTGGGAGGCTGAGGCGGGTGGATCACGAGGTCAAGAGATCGAGACCATCCTGGTCAACATGGTGAAACCCCGTCTCTACTAAAACTACAAAAAATTAGCTGGGCATGGTGGCGTGTGCCTGTAATCCCAGCTACTCAGGAGGCTGAGGCAGGAGAATTGCCTGAACCCAGGAGGCGGAGGTTGCGGTGAGCCGAGATCGCGCTATTGCACTCCAGCCTGGGTAACAAGAGCGAAACTCCGTCTCAAAAAAAAAAAAAAAAAAAAGAAATATCCATGCTTTACCTAATTCAAGATCCTTGTTAATAAGTTTTAACCTCACTTCCAAAATAATATCTTATTCTAATATTGGATGTTAGCTCTTCCACATACAGAAGGACAAATACAAATATTTCACTATTACTTAATCCCACCCTGAATCTTTTCTTCCTTAGGCATACTTTTAAAACATTAAGAAATCAGAGGTCTTTTTATTGACACCGATTTGTTTAACAAACTTCAAGGGTTTTGGTAATCTAATAGAATAGCCTTTGACTCTTTGACCTAAAATATTTTTCTGGGAAAAGACAAGTTAGTGTTGGGGGGACTTTTGCTTTCGGTTTTCTTTTTTCCTTAAGTTTTTGGGAATTGTGATAAGCAACTGCACTGTTACTGACTACGCTATGCATTTTAATTTTTAAAAGTCGAGCTCTGACGATTAATTGCTCAGTTTCCCCAAGAGAAGGCCCGAGCTTTTACCTCTAGCAATGTTTACAGTCAGATGATGAGGTGAGGGCAGGGAGAAGAGATCTCTTCTTTGGGTGGCAAAATGGGAAATAATTCTAGTATTTCTCCTCTTCACAAGGAGACCACACGGAACCAATTGTTTAGTAGTGCTTCCCAAACTTCAAGGCGCATACTAATTACCTGGAGCTTAGTTGAAATGCAGATTCTGATTCCAAAGGTGGAGGGTGCAGCCCAGTGTTCTGCAATTCTAACAAGCTCCTGTGTGCTGCAGATGTTGCTAGTGACTGGGAACCAGACTTTAAGTAGCAAGGGTTAGAGCACTCATGCACAAACTTCCTGTACATTACAATCACCTGGGGGTTTTTAAAAATTACTGATTCCTGGGGCCCATACCCAGAGATTCTGATTGAATAGATTGTGGTTGTCATAGTAATGTGCAGGCAGGCTGGAGAGTTACTGAGAATTACAAGTTAAAAGTGCCAGAGACTATGATCAAGCCCCAAATATCATAGCTCAGTCTATGCATCACCAGAACCCACGTTCTGTGTCAGAGTTTGAGTGTCTTCATGGCCAGGATGTCCTGAATATGGCTACCAGATAAATCAGATTTCTCTTTTTTACACTATAAACCAAAAATAAAATTCTAAGCCCCCAACCAACTGAACGGACCTCCCTTTCAGCCACAGGAATTCCAAAGTAAACCTGAAAAACTAGTTCAGGCCATGATGGGAAGTGGGAGGGTCGGATGTGCCTCCTGACACCCTCTTCCCTTTGGAGTTCAGGCACAACTGACCATCGTTAATATTAAAATGGAGCTCTTAACACTGACAAAGCAGACTCTTTATAGCAAATAAGATACTAAATTCCAACCTGACTCTAGTATAGCATCACATTGACAAATAGCAGGTTCTGCAAGAAACTATTTTACCCCAAAATATATTTATTTGACATATTTTGAAATGGCCCCGCAAAGCTGTCTCTTGCGGGGAAAATCTACATTCTATAGAGAATCCCCTTCTCTTTCCAGGTCTTTTCTTGATCCAGAATAGATTAACTAAGATTATAGCACTTTTTTAGGTTTGGTAAGAGACATTTACCATCTAATCTGTCTGAAGCCTGCTACCTGAGGCTTCATCTGCATAATAAGAAACTTGATCTCCACAACCCTTTATCTTAACCCAGATGTTCCTTTCTACTGATACTAGGTCTTTAGATAACAATTTAACTCTTTCAACCAATTGGCAATCAGAAAATCTATGAATCCACCTATGACCTGGAAGCCCCTGGCTTCCAGTTGTCCTGTCTTTCTAGACTGAACTAATGTACACCTTACATATATCGATTGATGTCTCTAACTTCTGTCCCCCTAAAATGTATAAAATCAAGCTGTAATCCAACTACCTTGGGGACATGTTCTCAGGACCTCTTGAGACTGTGCCTTGGGCCTTGGTCACTCATATTTGACTCAGAATAAATCTCTTCAAATATTTTACAGAGTTTGACTCTTTCTTTGTCAACAACATTGATCCATATTAGGTACAACTTTAATACAACTACAATCACATCTCCATATAGTTGCAGCATACCAAGAGAGCCATCTGCTAGGGTGCAGGGAATAAAGGAATGCAAGTAGAATCTTTAGACACAATTGAGAGACTGACGGACAATGGCCATATCATAAACAAATGGACAATGGCCAGATCATATATGACAACAGAATCCTGACCCACAGTCTCTGCCAAGAATGGTCAGGACTTGGTCAGTGACTGCCAGCCTCCCTAGTTTTTGCCTCCACTTCCAACGCAGGACCAACCAGAGAAACGCAAATATCAATTACGTCAGATGCCCCATTTCTAATTACCCCACCTCTAACTTCCCCATGCCAGCAACCTCTAATCAAAGCATATGCGGAGCCTTTTTTTCCCCCACTATAAATCTTTCCTACTCCTCTGCCAACCTTGGAGTCTCTGCAAGCGATGGTGGCTGACTCCCTTGCTCTGAATAAAGAACCTCTGTTCTCTTTTGGGTGGTCTTTATTTCCACACAACAATGAAACTAAGAGTCAGTTTGCTTTTTATTATCACCATCCACCAGAATTTCTGAAAAATTAGAGATACAATGCTCCGCCTAGGTGAGGGTGGACTACTCCCATTACCTTGGCCCCCTTGGTAATGTCACTACTTTGCAGCACTTTTTTAGCTAGCTTTTA